GGCCCGCCTGCTACCTGCGCGGCCCGGGGGGACAGCGGGAGTCGCCGCGCCTCCGCGAGCCCCGCTCCTTCATCTGCGGGTCGCCCACTCGCGACGGCGAGCGGTTCAGCGAACCGCAGTCTGAGGAGGCGAGCGTCACCGGCGCGATGATGCTGGAGCATCCGCAAGGCACTGAGCATTAGCACAGACGCTAGGAAAAGTGTCTTTCGTGGGTTTCGGTTTGTTGTGTGTGTTTGTTTTTTTTTTTAGTGAAAAAGATGAAGTTGGGAGAGAAATAACTAATCGGGTTGGAAGAAAACCTTTACATGTATTGAAAACGATTGTAAAGAAGACTTCTTGTTTTCTGAACTCATTTAATGATTCATAGTAGAAACACCTAATGAACTCCATATTCGTGTATCAGATCGTGTTGAACATTCTAAACTTTCCCAGTGATGTATGTCCACTTGTAGCTCAGTAAGGCTGGAAAAATTTAAAATATACATATATTTTTAAGATATTATATATATAAATTTTAAACCCTACCCTACTTGAGCTATGGTGCCAGTATTTTACTATGGATATTCCTGCTAGGAGATTTGAGGGCTATGACCAACAGACAGATAAAACCATAAACTGGCACCCTGACAGAAGGGATGTTGTTCCAGATACCATTGCAGAAATCACCTTATACCGAGTCAGTGTCTTGAATAAATTTAATTGCAGAATGAAAGCTTTTGAAACAACTTGCATCTACTGTATGTGTATTGCTTTCCACTCAGATTCTTTCATGACAGTTCCCCAAAGGAACATATTTTTTAAATGATCGAATATTAAAGGAAAAGTATATCCAAAGGGTGGGGCGTGTTTCACAGCATAAAGACAAAAACCTAAAGGCCCATGGAGAGAGAAGGATTTCAAGACCCATGACTCGGAACTCAGTTGCCAGCTTAGTGGCCTTGTCTCCTCCCTGAAGGGGCTCCCAGCAGATGTAAATCCAGGAGTTATGAGCATGGCATCACAGATCAATACGATTGGAAAACAATCTTTAACCTTTAGCAGAGCCCCACTTGCCTGACAGCAAAGGATGCAGAAAAGTGTTTTTATGGTTGTTATTTTGCCTGGTGGCGGGGGCGGGGAGAACAAAACCAGAAGTGGAAAATTTAAATAGCTTTGCCAAAGTCATAGTATTAACAGCTAGAAATGCTGAGAATTAGACCAAAATACAGAGATTCTGATCCCAACTTTACTTCTTTCTCTACCCCCACTTGGGCCCTTGGGAATTGGGAACACTTCCCCCCCCACCCCCCACCTCCCAGCAAAAGGAGGTGGCAGCAAAACCTGTTCAGAAGGTGTATTTGGAACCTTGCAAAAAGCCACAGGTATTGCAATGACCTTCATTCAGACACTTCTCTGGGGCCTGCCAGGAATCCTGGGACTGGAACATTTTACTTCTAATTTTGTAAAGCAAATATAAATTAATGATATACATAAGGGTCTAATATATTTTTTAAACAACCTATAGACCAAACACTGTGCATGTGTGTGTATTCTTAGTCTAAATAAATGGCCACAACTTTCCTTTGAAGTAAGTACCATGCCCATTTAAACAGATAAGCTGGACCTCAGAGAGGATAAGGGATGCGTCCAGAGTCACACAGCAAACCAGGATTGGAAGCCAGGTTAACTGAGCTCTGAAAACACCTTCTCACAAAGACAGTGTCTCTGCAACGGAAAAGTTGTCACCCTGTGAAAATGGTACGCATTGGTTCATAGGAAACTCATTTGGAATGCATTAGTAAGCACCTCACTAACTGATGCTGATAAAACCGAAAAGGGCAGTGATGGTAAATCACTTGAGCAGGCCTTAAGATGGGTTTTTACAAGTCAGATGACACCCAGCAACAGAAGGGAGTGAGACCCCTGGGTGGCCTTCCCCCTGCGGTGCACAGCATTGAGCTGTTAACAAAAATTCAACTGAGTAAATTTTAAAGTCTATCTGACTTTATTAATCGATTCAGGAATCCGGCAACATCCCCTCTAGCAAGCAGAGGGGAATTCCAAAGGGCTCTAGAAAGGGAAAGGTTTTTAAAGAAAGGACAAGGGAGTCATAAACAGGAAAAAAAAAAGGATTATTTGGGGTGGGGTCAGCTTCCTTTAGGGAAAAGGGGTCTTATTAGGTGGATTACTTCATCTTCCTTTGGGGGTTGGAGAGGGCCCATGTGATGGCTTACCTTATTACCTTATTGATGCTGATCAGAAAACTCCTGACTGATCAGTTAAGACTATATTTCTGGGAGAAGTTGAAACTTTAATTAGGTTAGGTATTAAGCCCTGGTTTAGGGGCTTGGTCTAGCATAAGTCTGGGCTTGTGGTTCTCTTTTTAAAAGGATGCTGGACCAGAGCTGGCTCAGTTGGTTAAGCGTCTGTCTTCGGCTCAGGTCATGATCCCGGGGTCCTGGGATCCAGCCCTTAGTTGGGCTCCCTGCTCAGCGGGGAGCCTGCTTCTCCCTCTCCCTCTGCTGCTCCACCTGCTTGTGCTCTCTCGCTCGCTCGCTCTCTCTCTGTCAAATAAATAAATAAAATCTTTTAAAAAATAAAAGATGCTGGACTGGACATCAGCACTGGGGTCACAGCATGACCTCCCAGGACAAGGGGAGCCCCAAGTGAGGAGGGTTGGAGATATCACACTGGAGCAGAGACGTGCTAGCAGGCGGCCCATATGGCTCATCCATTCATCCCTCTCCCGCTGTCTCCTCTAGTAGGAGACTTAGTGGCTTGTTTTTAATTTTTTTTTTGTTTGTGTGATGGGGATCATAGCCAGTCACGGAGCCGTTATAAAGTTGCAAGTTTGAAACCCCCGCAGGAGGCTGGAACCTGCAGAGCGCACCAGCTTCAGAGCCGCCTGGGGAGCTGGCACAGCCCCGAGACCCTACCTGCTCCTCAGCACCTGGGAGCCTCAGCTTCCTCGTCTGTTTGCTAAGGTGACCGGAGTCTCTCCACAGAGGACTGATCCAGGCATTAAAGGAGAAAATGTACGTTGAGCGCTTAATGTCATGCCTGTCGCAAGGGCACTGGATCGGGTGGGCGTGACGCTGGAGCTCTGGGCTCGGAGGAGAGAGGATGCAGCCCGGGCGCCGCCAACCGCCGGAAGCCAACACACACCATTCCCCGACCCTTCTCCATAGCTCTTTGCTATTTTAAGTAGGAAAGATGAAACAAATGTGGAGACGTAATCTTGCACATTTCTATGGCTGATGATTCAAACCCACAAATTGTGTGCGTGCGTGTGCGTGGCTGCGGAATTCATACAAAACACAAAAGAGAACTTAATACCAGCATGAGTCACAGACTAAAGACAAGAAATGCGCTGCTGATGTTCAGAAGCGTGCGGACACTCTTGTATGTCACCGCAGACAGGGTGCCTACAGAACTATTCCAAGTGAAACCAAGCCCGTAGCATTTCCTGATCAACGTCCTCTGTCCTCCCTGCACACCTGGGTCCACTCCGTCCCTGAGCAGAGGAAGGGCCAACTTGCCCGACCAGAGTGAAGACTCTTCTGAAGGCTCTCCACACACTGAAACATGATTCCATTAATTCCCCTCTTCATTCAGTAATTTTTCCCTATAAATTCTTATTTCTGCATGTTTTATTTAAATCTAGAAATACATTTAACTTTACTCTCATAATGGGAACAGATTTGTCATTAAATCCTCTGAAAGTTAGAATACTGTGAATAAAATATAATAGTATTTCTGTTAGGAGTAATTTTTCCCATAAGCCCCTGAGCAACAAATCCTGAAGAACAATTATCAAGAGACAGACTCCAGCGAGAATAAATGTCACATGTGTGATATAGGACACACTGCACAGCATCTTTCCAGGTTCTCTCTGATGAGCTGTGTTCCCTATAATTAGTCCTTGGAAAGCCGGGGTTTTAACAGCCAAAGGATTATGCATCTGATTACATAAATCTCAGCTACAAGAATAGTCAACCTCATACTTCTTACAAATTCAGTCTGCTTCGACCCAGTAGGACTTTTTGTGACAACCGCTGGTGTCTAAGACAACCTAAAATAAGTCATAACCAAGAACCTGAAGTATAAAAACAATACTGCGTGGTATTTCTCAAAGTGCGTGAGGAAACATTTCACATGATTATTCCCAGATCATCACACACACTTTCCCTGACATTCTGGCTTGGATAGAATCAGAGAAGTTTAAAATTAAGATGGCGCTCAGATTCAGGTGGCCAGCACTCCACCGAATTCAAACACTGCCCTCTCCAGGACCAATCCTTGCCCATGCCCACAGATGACACAACTTTCAGGAGAGAAGGAAGATGATAGGATTCCCTCCAATCACAGCCCACAGGCAGATACATTCACGGAATCAATGACATGAGTTTCCACAAATATTTCTCTTCTTCTTTTTAAAAAAATTACAGAGATCTATTTGTACTTTTTGAACCAAATTTCTAATTCTATGGAAGGCATGAAAGGTACCTCTGATTTTTTTCCTCACTTCTTTGGGGCTAGGAGGAAGGAGGCAAGGTGGAGTGTATCTAAAAAGGTTTTGTTTTGTTTTTTTCACTTAAAATGAAAATCAACATCTGAGCTTGACATAAGAGTGCCCCTCCTACATGAAGGGGCACAATTTTAAAATATGATTTTATGCATTCAGACTCTAAATTGTACCTCTTTTAATATAGAAAGAAAAAAATAAATAAATGACTCCATTTGGGTTGAGAGATCTCATTTACTAAATGGAGCTTTTAGGGCAAAACCAAAATGCCAGTTAATATATTGCAGTTTGAGGAGAGTTTGAGTAGAAACCGAA